CTGACCACTAGGCCACCAGAACTACTATTTTCTCTCTCAGGCTCTGCACAATAGCTCACCACTGCATCGTCTTCAGGTTTGTAGGCACTGCCTGTACAACTGCCATGTCCCAGCTCCCATTTAATAGTGGCAAACGAGGAGTGAAAAAAGGATCTTTCTTGAGGTGAAAAAAGAATATGTAATGGACAGGGGATTAATTTCCAGCGGCAGCCTTCTAATTTTGTATTCATAACTTTGCATGCATCCTAGGCTGCACGTGCAACGTCTGCTGATATACATTAGGTAATTGGGCATCCAGCAGTCCCATTTGCATGCAAAGGGGCTGCACACCTTACATCTACAAGACTAAAATTAAAGCCCAGTTTGAAGCTGGCTGGAGACGCACTGCTAGGAAAATAATGAGATAAGGAAGAAATGGTTTCTGTTAATCAGCACTTTTGGCCTTTACTGTTCAATCTTTGCTAATTTGGTCTCTGAAATTGTGCATTCCACATTGAAGGGAGACTTCTGAAAACATCTGTGCTTTTCTTTTTTTAAAAAGTCTACATTTTAAAACTGATTGTGTTTATCCACAGCAATTCCCTAAAACTATACCCACATGCATGCTGTGTTCTGATGCTGCACTCTATTTTTGCTTTGCTAACTGTTCCTGCTACTCCGAGGCCACATGGGTCATCTCCAGCACAGAGGAGTTTCACTTCAGATTGGCTCATGTTTATCAGGCAGCTGCTCTGCATCCGGCCCCGTGCCATCCTGCAAAGATGGATATGGGAACAGCTCCTGCTCTTACATACAGTAGTTTAACAGCTTCCCAGCATCTCAGTGCCGCATGTTTTTACGGAAATGAAGTCTTCTTCGGATAGCATTGCCTAATCCCACAGTTTGAGCTCCCTTTATGCTCAGTCTGTATCCTCCGAGGAGTCCATTGATGAAAGCACTCTGCTGTTAATTGAAAGGTCAACTGTTTGAATTCACCAGCTGTCTTGGGGAAGAAAAATACAGCAGCCTGCTTCCATAAAGATTTATTGCCTTAGGTACTACATGGGGTAGCTCTACCATGTTTCCCAGAATTGCTACGAACTGAAATGGACTCAACAGCACTGGGGTCAATTTGTGTTCCTTTGCCCCTCTGCAAAGGAAGGGTCCTGTGTATCCATGCTTAGAAAAATTAAACCCTAATGTCACAAGCTACCACCTATCTCTCAGATTGGCGTACTTTGGTGACTTGCATGTGGCTGGATGTTATGCCACTAGTATTTCAACTGTCAGTAGGATCACCTATGATAAACAGGTTTCAGCAGAGTTCCAGACTCAAAACTCTTGGTACCAGTAGCCAGGAAAGTAAAAAGTGAATTTCACTAGGAAAGTCTGCTGTCAGAGACCTCTCCAAGGTACTGAAGAGCAACAGTGCCAGTCTGGAGACTAACGTGTACCTGATTCAAGCCATAGTCTCTGCAATTACTTCCTATGTATTAGAAATCTGGACAGTGACAAGGGATGATTGAAGAATTTATGCCTTTGAGCTGTGGTGCTGGAGAAGAGTATTGAATATACCATGGACTGCTAGAAGAACAAAGAGGTTTGTCCTAGAGAGGGTGAGACCAGGCTGCTGCTTGGAGGCAAGGAATCTGAAGCTTCTTCTAACATACTTTGGACATGTTTCAAGGAGGGACCAGTCCTTGGAGAGGGATATCATGCTTGGGAGAGTGGAGGGACAGTGCAAGAGAGGGTGATCCTCAATGAGATGGATTGATTCAGTGACTGGGGTAATGGGGGTAGGTGTGTCAGAGACACTAAGATTGACACAGGATAGAGCAGGGTTTAGGGCTTTTGTACATAGGGTCACTATGAGTTGCAGGCAACTCTATGGCACATAACAATAACAGACTAGGTAGATAGTAGGTAGCAGAACTACTGTTACAGGCTAGGCCTAGAGATCTACTCCCAAGATGTGGTTGTTAGGTGCTGTCTACTACAACTCCTAGTGACCCTACAAACAACAGAGCTGAACCTCTCCCTGTTCTGTAACATCGCCATGATCTCTGATAGGCTGTGTCCCATTGTGGCGGACAGTGTGTCAACTCATCTTATTGAGAATCTTCCTCTGAGTCCCCACCTTTCCTAGCATGATGTCTTTTTCCAAGCACTGGTCCCCTCTAACATGTCTGAAGTGTTTGAGACGAAGTTCCATCATCTTTGTCCCTAAGGAGCTCCTTGGATGCCCTACCTCAAAGGCAGATGTGTTTGCTCTCTTGGCAATCCATGGGCTAGTCCACACTTTTCAAAACTGCTTTTGTCATCCTCTCTCATTGTCCAGGCTTCACATGCATAGTAAACTATTGGAAATACCATGACATCATTCAGGCTTATCTTTAAACGGACATCCTTGAAACTTGACATTGTTTAGCACTTTGGAGAGGTCCTTGACAGCAGGTTTTCCCAGTCAACGTGATGAGAACCTTACGAACCACAACAAATCATTGTCTAACTTACTTGCTTTGGATACTTGGTCGGCTGGATCAGTTGCTGGAGGAGGACACCATGTTTGGTGAAGTAGAGATTATGGTATGGTTATGGACGTATGATTATGGAGGTTCTCAGAGAAATGGATTAGCATGGCAGCTGCAGGGGTGGCCTTGAACGTGCCAGTGAGCTGGAGGATTACAGAGGCCTGGCCATTTATTTTTGTTGGTGGTGGGATAGGCATCAATTGAAATTAACTTGATGAAAGTTTTCTGCTTAAAAATATGAGAGTGTGGCCCGTTGGATGCTCAAAGAGATAATAGTGGAGGTGACCACATTCCCAGAACTTATGGGAATAAATGTTGCATGAATATTCTTGTACTCTGATTGCAATGTGAGCCCTACACCTTATATCATTCTTTTTTTTTCTATAATTATATTTGATTAATTTTCATAAACATTTACAGAGATTTTGGGTTTCCATTCACTCATTGTTGCACTA